CGCCTGGGTGGCTCAGTCGGTTGAGCGTCTGACTTCGGCTCAGGTCATGATCTCGCGGTTCGTGAGCTCAAGCCTCACATCGAGCTCTGTGCTAATGGCTCAGAGCCTGGAGCCTGCTTCTGATTCTGTGTCTCCCTCTCTCTCTGTCCTTCCCCCACTCATGATCTGTCTCAGAAATAAATAAATATTAAAAAAATAAATAAAGTAAAATAAAATAAACCAGTGAACTGGTTTTAAAGTACAGCTTATAACTAATCCTTTCAAACTTCACATTGAAACAAAAAGAAAAACAAAAAACAAAGAAAAACCCTGATCGTGTGGCCACCAACCTTTCAAAAGCATTCAAGAGCTTTGTATTCTTGATCTTCTTTATGTTTTCAATCTTGAAATTTTTCATGGAAGCTTTAAAACGCTCGCTTATTGTGTCATATTCCAGAGTCTGCTGATTGATCTCTAACAGCTGAGAAAATTAAAAACCATGTAAACGTGAAACACGAGACATTTAGAGCACGATATGTCCATACACGTGGCCCCTGATGCCATGGGGTATCCTTGCCAGGCCCCTAGCAGCAGGTGGGATAAGCTGGCTTAGGGTTTCCACATCTGGCAGTTCATTCTATTCAGGAACTCGCTGGCACTGGGCCCATCGGAGCAGGCTGACTGATGGCTGGCAACGCACGATGCTTAAAGGCAAAGGGACGCCCCCTGGAGGTGTCGGGCTTGGTGCAGTGACCTGGGAGGGCCTTAAGCTAGAGCAGGGGCAGAGGCACTGAAGGTGCGTAAGAGGTCTGCACTCAAATCTGGAGCGTGACGTGGACGCGGAACGGTATAGAACGAGTACTGCCCCAACCAGGGTAGGTGACGAGCTGAGGCAGTTTGTACCCTCCCCCAGAAACCTGCTTTTTAAGTCCCACTAACAGATGAGGCACTTTCACTCTCTGACTTCCCGCTTTTGTCATCCATGAAGCAGAGATCCTAATAGCTCAGAGGGTTCTCTCAAGGACGTGCCCCAAAGGGATCGGGTATGGCAGGGCAGCAAGGTGACCTGGAGGGGGTGGCTGTTCTCTGGGAAAGTAGCGCCATTACCATTTGGAGGCCTTTGAATCTTGATCCATGAATTTCATAGAAGCCAACCATTCTCTCATCCAAACACACAGATCTACAGCTAAGCCCCTTCCCCCATTTCTAAACAATTGATACACCAAAAAGCAAAAAGCAGTACCTCATAACCATTCAAGCCGAACTCCTGCTGAGGGAACAATGTCGAGGTTAACGGCTCTGACAGGGTCTGCACCGGCTGATGCCTACAAGTAAGAGAAAGAATTCACTTGGCTCTCTGTTCCATAGGCCCAAGTTCTGTCCCAAAATTCCAGTCACTAAGCCAAGGTTTCCCAGAGAATATTTTCTTTGTATTTTATTTTGGATTACCTTCCTGTGCATTCCTGGTATAGTTGTACTATTAAAATGCAGTTATTATCCGGGGCACCTGGGTGACTCAGTCGGTTGAGAATCTGACTTTAGCTCACGTCATGATCTCACAGTTCATGAGTTCAGGCCCCGCGTCGAGCTCTGTGCTAACAGCTTGGAGCCTGGAGCCTGCTTCAGATTCTGTGTCTCCTTCTCTCTCTGCCCCGCTCACGCTCTGTCTCTGTCTCTCTCTCTCTCTCAAAAATAAATAAATGTTAAAAAAAAAAAAAAAAAAAAAAA